GTGGCGGCCGGGGGGGGGGGGGGGGGGGGGGACATGGCCAGTGCCCCCCAGGGCTCTCACTCACTGTTAGGCCCAGATTTTTAAAAGATGCCTAGGTGTTGCTGAGCTCAGCATTTTAGTGCTAAACCTATTTAGGAGCCTCAGTCTCGATTTCAAAAGGATTTAGATGCTTAGGAGCCAGAATCCCATTAATAGTCAATGGGATTTAGGCCTACATGCCTAACTCCCTTTAGAAAATAAGTCTTAGGTTCTTAAATCAGTTTAGCATGTACTCAGCTCTAGGCCACAATGCTAGAGACAACTTTAAAAAGACAAGCAAGTAACTTGTGATGCAGAAACATGTGCATGGTCTGATCCCAATGGAGAGCAAGGACCTTTGGCATATTTGACCAAGTTGTGTAAGTAATGCGATAGAGTTTGAAAATAACCTACTGCGAGTCACATTTACTCTGCTCTAACCAGCCAGCTGTTTGACAGAATTTTGCCAGGAGGCACTTTCATTAGGAGATCATTATTCAAAACCCACCTGCCATAAGCATTTTGCATTTGCACTCTACAACCTTTTACTTCTCTCTCCTCAGTTACAGAGCCACTGTGAATTCTGAATTTCTTCCGTGTTTGTTCAGAACTATTTGGCCTTTTTGTTGCATCTAGTACTTTGCACGGAGACCAGAAAAACGATTCATGGCGAGTGAATTGTGATGGAGTACATCATGAGGCCAAACGGAATCTCTGGTGCTGCATGTACCCCTAGGACTGTCAGAAAAGCTTTTTGCAGCAACAACTGTGCTTGCAAATATGTCTGGCACGTGCTCTATTTGGATAGGTTATCTAGAATCCACAGCGCACACTCATCGCTTGCTGATACGAGTCACTTTCACAAGCACTGAAAGCAAATCTATTGCTGAACTTTGACTTCTTCTCCAAGCCAGCTGGCGTACGACAAAGGGCCTCCTTTGCTGAGCCCCCTTTGAAGGTGCAGAGCAAGGACTGGGTGAGGAATAGCTCTGGGCATGGAGCGGCTACTGGAACATTGGTGTAATTGGAGCGTCCAATTGGAGTAATTTGAAGAAAGCCACATGGGGGAGTTCTGAATGGCATCGGCTGGGGATAAAAAGTCATTCCAGGTGTGGTAAAAAAACGTCACTCAGATTCTACGTTCTTTAGACTGAAGAGTGTCCCATGGCACCACCTCACAAGAAGCATGGAATAATAATTTAGCGATATCCTTCGGAGCCAAGGATAAGCTGGGAGCTAATAATTAATTGCACCCTGAGCCAGAACTGACAGTTTGGCACTGAAACCTCCTGTGATCTGGGGTATCTGGCAGAGACCCTGGAGGTTTTTTGCCTTCCTCTGTAGCATGGGGTACAGATCTCAGCTGGAGGATTCTCTGCATCTTGGGGTCTTCAAACTATTTGAGGGCTTCAATATCTGAGATATAGGTGGGAGGATTATTCTAGGAGGGGTGGGTGAGATTCTGTGGCCTGCACTGTGCAGGGGGTCAGACTAGATGATCATAATGGTCCCTTCTGACCTTAAAGTCTATGAGTCTGAAACCCAGACCGTGGGGAGAATTTCACATCCCCACCCAAGAGATGGCTGCAAATCTCATTGAAGGCAAAATTCTGTTCACGAGCAGATTTACCCGGCATTGCTTGGGTCCTTAACTCATTTTTTTAAATAAAATGCAAACACATTGCTTCATTTTAAGCACTGCTCTGGGGTGGGGGTGGGAGTGGGGAGGAGGGTCAGTGTGCAGGCTGCCCCATGGAGGGCAGACAACCCCAGCCCTCTCTTAATAGCTTGGAGCCAGGTAGAAGCACCTCTCCCTGCCTGCTGCAGCTCCAAGGGAAACAGCCAGGGAAGAGTCCAGGTTCATCTGCCCCCTGTGCTCCCCATCCGGAGTGGGGAATGCAGCAAACTGTGCACTTTCCCCCTTGCTCCCTGACAAATGTTCAATGTTCCCATATGAATTTGGGGGGAGGGAGCTTTAGCCCCCTCCACCCTCCCTAAATGCACCAGAGGGGTGAGAGGTACAAGGCTGGAGCAGTCCCAGACTGGGGGGGGGGGAGGGGAGGTGTCCCCAGCCAGCCCCCTTTCCCTGTCTAGTGACTCTGTCTCTTTTCTGAGACACAAGCCCATTGCAAGGCACATCCCATTTTCCTGGCACAAACCAACCCGTCTTTGCTTTAGTTTATGATGAGAGGAAGCTGCACTCCAAATGTGGTGGTCCTAGCTCTGACCCTTTAGGAGTTCATGTACAAACAATAGATGGACAGACAGACAGACTCTCTCAAATATATAGCAAATTCCCATTGTACCTCAGAACTCTAGTCATGGATCAGGACACCCCTGTTCCCACCATGGCGCCCTGCTCACTGGATCCTGGAAAACATGATCCCAGCTAGACACACAAACTGATGGGGACTAAATTAGCTGTTACCACTCAAGAGCAAGCTTTTGGCATCATTGTGGCTAGTTCTCTGAAAACATCCACTCAACGTGCAGTGGCAGTCAAAAAAGCGAACAGAATGTTAGGAATCATTAAGAAAGGGATAGAGAATAAGACAGAGGTGGTCACCTCATCTAAAAAAAAAGACATCTTGGCATTGGAAAGAGTTCAGAAAAAAGCATAAAAACGATTAGGGGCATGGAATGGCTGCTAAATGAGGAGAGATTAATAAGATTAGGACTTTTCAAAAAAGACAATGGGAGAAGAGGAATATGATAGAGGTCTATACAATCATGACCGGTATGGAAAACGTGAAGAAAGAAGAGTTATTTACACCTTTGCATTTCACAAGAACTAGGGGTCACCAAATGAAATGCATAGGTGGCAGGTTTAAAACAAACAAAAGGAAGTATGTCTTCACACAATGCAGAGTCAACCTGTGGAACTCCTTGCCAGAGGATATCATGAGGGCCAAGACAGGCTTCAAAAAAGAGCTAGATAAGTTCATGGAGGACAGGCCCATCAATGGTTACTAGCCAGGATGGGCAGGGATGACGTCTCTAGCCTCTGTTTGTCAGAAGCAGAGACTGGGTGACAAGGGAGGGATCACTTGATTCCCTGTTCTGTTCATTCCCTCTGGGGCACTTGGCATTGGCCACCGTTGGCAGACAGGACCCTGGGCTAGATGGACCTTTGGTCTGACCCAGTGTGGCGGCTGTTCTGGTATCCCTCTGGCAGGTTACAGAGACAGAGTTTAGAAGGTCAGACTCATTTCCGTCCGGCACCCGAGTCTCCAGCCAGTTCACCAACAGCTCCTTTGCCCCCCACTGAAGTTTTAAAGACAAAAGGCAGCAGGTTTATTTTTGACCAAGAACAAGAGATCCTGGGTTCTCGAGCGCTCTTACCCTCTCTCGCTCCTTGGCATTCGCTGCCTGCCTCCTCTCCAAGACCTCCTCCAGGTTCTCGGTGGAAAGATACTCCCCAGAGGGCTGCCTCTTCATCCTGGTGATGGCGGCCATGAATGGGAGGGGCCCAAACTGCTCACTTAGGACGTCTCCCAGCACCTCGGGTGCAGGGGTCACCAAGAAAGGCACCCGGGGCTGCTGCTCCTCTTCCTCGGACGCTTGCTCAGCCATCTGCAGGGTCTCAAAGCGAAGCTGTTGCCAGTCGGGTCTAACAAGAAAGGGAGCACAAGGGCGGGTGGAGGAAGTTTTCCTTACTCAACTAACTGCCCCTACGAGCGCTGGCTATTCCTCTGGGGTGGAACGTGGGAATCTGAGGGTCCACAGTGGATACGGGGGGGGGGGGGCCTCTTTGAGAGGCAGGGACTTGCTGCTCCAGAAGCCCACAGAGAAGAGGGCACTAGACACCTCCCCCAGATAACACAGACACCCCGCCCTGCTGTGGGTTGGGGGGGCCAGAATCACACCCCTCTGCTGTGTGTTGGGGGGCCACACAACCCCCCAGAGTGTACAATGTGCTTCCCACCAGGGGACTGAATGGCTCTGGGAGCCCCCGACACTGAGGCAGTAGCCATCCCTCCAGGGAACGTTGCCCCCTGTGGCACTGGGGGGCTGGGCTCTCAGCCATGCAGTGGGGGGGCCCGAGAGTCCCTAGGGCGGGAGTGCAGGGTCAATAGTGAATTAATAGCCCCTGGGGCGTGTTACCGGAGGGGGCACAGCCAGGACCCCGAATGGGGGGGCTGCAGCGCGGGATGGGGGCCCCTCCCCAGGGCATAATGGGGGGGCTGCAGCGCGGGATGGGGGCCCCTCCCCAGGGCATAATGGGGGGGCTGCAGCGCGGGATGGGGGCCCCTCCCCAGGGCATAATGGGGGGGCTGCAGCGCGGGATGGGGGCCCCTCCCCAGGGCATAATGGGGGGGCTGCAGCGCGGGATGGGGGCCCCTCCCCAGGGCATAATGGGGGGGCTGCAGCGCGGGATGGGGGCCCCTCCCCAGGGCATAATGGGGGGGCTGCAGCGCGGGATGGGGGCCCCTCCCCAGGGCATAATGGGGGGGCTGCAGCGCGGGATGGGGGCCCCTCCCCAGGGCATAATGGGGGGGCTGCAGCGCGGGATGGGGGCCCCTCCCCAGGGCATAATGGGGGGGCTGCAGCGCGGGATGGGGGCCCCTCCCCAGGGCATAATGGGGGGGCTGCAGCGCGGGATGGGGGCCCCTCCCCAGGGCATAATGGGGGGGCTGCAGCGCGGGATGGGGGCCCCTCCCCAGGGCATAATGGGGGGGCTGCAGCGCGGGATGGGGGCCCCTCCCCAGGGCATAATGGGGGGGCTGCAGCGCGGGATGGGGGCCCCTCCCCAGGGCATAATGGGGGGGCTGCAGCGCGGGATGGGGGCCCCTCCCCCAGTGCATAATGGGGGGGCTGCAGCGCGGGATGGGGGCCCCTCCCCAGGGCATAATGGGGGGGCTGCAGCGCGGGATGGGGGCCCCTCCCCAGGGCATAATGGGGGGGCTGCAGCGCGGGAGGGGGACCCCTCCCCCACGGCATAATGGGGGGGCTGCAGCGCGGGAGGGGGACCCCTCCCCCACGGCATAATGGGGGGGCTGCAGCGCGGGAGGGGGACCCCTCCCCCACGGCATAATGGGGGGGCTGCAGCGCGGGAGGGGGACCCCTCCCCCACGGCATAATGGGGGGGCTGCAGCGCGGGAGGGGGACCCCTCCCCCACGGCATAATGGGGGGGCTGCAGCGCGGGAGGGGGACCCCTCCCCCACGGCATAATGGGGGGGCTGCAGCGCGGGAGGGGGACCCCTCCCCCACGGCATAATGGGGGGGCTGCAGCGCGGGAGGGGGACCCCTCCCCCACGGCATAATGGGGGGGCTGCAGCGCGGGAGGGGGACCCCTCCCCCACGGCATAATGGGGGGGCTGCAGCGCGGGAGGGGGACCCCTCCCCCACGGCATAATGGGGGGGCTGCAGCGCGGGAGGGGGACCCCTCCCCCACGGCATAATGGGGGGGCTGCAGCGCGGGAGGGGGACCCCTCCCCCACGGCATAATGGGGGGGCTGCAGCGCGGGAGGGGGACCCCTCCCCCACGGCATAATGGGGGGGCTGCAGCGCGGGAGGGGGACCCCTCCCCCACGGCATAATGGGGGGGCTGCAGCGCGGGAGGGGGACCCCTCCCCCACGGCATAATGGGGGGGCTGCAGCGCGGGAGGGGGACCCCTCCCCCACGGCATAATGGGGGGGCTGCAGCGCGGGAGGGGGACCCCTCCCCCACGGCATAATGGGGGGGCTGCAGCGCGGGAGGGGGACCCCTCCCCCACGGCATAATGGGGGGGCTGCAGCGCGGGAGGGGGACCCCTCCCCCACGGCATAATGGGGGGGCTGCAGCGCGGGAGGGGGACCCCTCCCCCACGGCATAATGGGGGGGCTGCAGCGCGGGAGGGGGACCCCTCCCCCACGGCATAATGGGGGGGCTGCAGCGCGGGAGGGGGACCCCTCCCCCACGGCATAATGGGGGGGCTGCAGCGCGGGAGGGGGACCCCTCCCCCACGGCATAATGGGGGGGCTGCAGCGCGGGAGGGGGACCCCTCCCCCACGGCATAATGGGGGGGCTGCAGCGCGGGAGGGGGACCCCTCCCCCACGGCATAATGGGGGGGCTGCAGCGCGGGAGGGGGACCCCTCCCCCACGGCATAATGGGGGGGCTGCAGCGCGGGAGGGGGACCCCTCCCCCACGGCATAATGGGGGGGCTGCAGCGCGGGAGGGGGACCCCTCCCCCACGGCATAATGGGGGGGCTGCAGCGCGGGAGGGGGACCCCTCCCCCACGGCATAATGGGGGGGCTGCAGCGCGGGAGGGGGACCCCTCCCCCACGGCATAATGGGGGGGCTGCAGCGCGGGAGGGGGACCCCTCCCCCACGGCATAATGGGGGGGCTGCAGCGCGGGAGGGGGGCCCCTCCCCCAGTGCATAATGGGGGGGCTGCAGCGCGGGATGGGGGCCCCTCCCCCAGGGGCAGAATGGGGGGCTGCAGCGCGGGATGGGGACCCCTCCCCCACGGCATAATGGGGGGGCTGCAGCCCTGCACTGAGGGCACCTTCCTCTCCTCCTGTGCTTTGGTGTTTTCCAACCTTCAGACACTGTCCAGAGGGAGCAAGGCAACCCAGGCTGTGCCCCCTGCTCTGCAGCAGGCTCTCTGACGGCTTTGGACAAGTCCCTTCATCCCAAAGCCTCCAAGCTATTTGGGTTCCTCCCTCCCAGGAACTTGCCTCCATGCCTCAGTTTCCCAGCTGAACTAGGGGAGACTCTTCCCCGGGGGGGGGGGGGGGGGGGGGTTGAGGACGAGCACATTAAAGGTCGTGACACACTCAGGTCCTGTGGGCCTGATACTGCCCTTAGATAGAAGTCAGTGCGAGTAGTCACCTGTGCAGTGTCACTCCTGTGCGGAGGGGCAGGGCAGGGTCCCGATTCACTAAGGCCCAGCCCCTCAAAGGTATTTAGGCACCTCATCCCTATTGAAATTCATGGAATCCTGAGGCGCTCGGCCTAACATATCTGCAGAAATGACAGTGCTGCTGGGCTTTTCCAAACAGATTATTAAACTGGAGGTAAGCGGGACTCGTTCTGTTGAAGACACAGGCAAATGGTGAGGAGCCGCACGCTCCAAGGAGTTACCTCAGGTCACGTTGGAAAGCGCAGTCTGTTTGGGATTACTGGGATTAGAGCAACATGAAAAAGGGTGTTCGGCTCTAAGAGTGCACTACAGCGCGGCTGACAGCGCTCAGGAAACAACCCCCCCCTCCCCACCTGTGGCTAGACTGCCGGGCCCAACGGGTTGTGAGCAATGGCTCCATGTCTGGTTGGCGGTTGGTTTCAAGCGGAGTGCCCCGTGGGTTGGTTCAACATCTTTATGATTGACCTGGATGAGGGGAGGGATTGCACCCTCAGCAAGTTTGCGGAAGACACTAAGCTAGGGGCAGAGATAGATACATTGGAGGGCAGGGATAGAGTCCGGCATGATCTAGACCAGGGGTTGGCAAAACTATGGCCCGAGAGTAAAATATGGCTCACTAAGGAGCCAGATATGGCTCTTTTGAAGCTTGAGACCAGCCCCCCCTTTGCTCACCCCTTTTGTTCCCCCCTGCAGCAGGGAGCCCAGGCTAGTGCTACGGCAGGCCTGGGTAAAACAATCCAGCCCAATCCAGCCCAGCCCTCCTGGCAGACTCTCCTGCTTGTCCCACCCCCGCATGCTGCTCCAAAAAGCGGCTGCAGGGCCGTTTGTGCTCCACAAACTGTGAGCCCAGAAGGGAGGAGGGAATGGTACTTCACAGCTGCTCCCGCCCCCAGCACAATCCCATTGGCTTGTTTCTGGACAATGGGAGCTGCTTGTTTCAAGAACAGGCAGCACACGAAGCACTCCTCCTCTCTCCCATCAAGATCTTATTCACAGAGCACATGGTCCCACAGCCCTTGCAGGGGCAGGGCAGGCTCCTGCCTGAAAAACATGCTGGGCTGCTGTCCAAGAGTCTCCCAGGTAAGTCTCCCAGCCAAAGCCTGCCTCTGGCACCCCAGCCCCTCCCTTCCCCCCACGCCGCCCATATAACACAAGCCCTCTGCCCCCTCCTGGGCCCATACCCCCTCCTGCACTCCAATCCCCTGCCCCAGATCACAACCCCCTCCTGCCTTAGGTCACCCCCCCCCCCCTCTCGCCTAGCTGCCCCCCAATCCCCTGCCCCAGATCACCACCCCCCCCCTTCAGTAGCAGCAGCCCCCCCCTCCTGGCCTAGGTCACAATCCAAACTGCTGCACTGTAATCCCCTGCCCTAGGTCACAGTCCAAACCCCTGTATCCTAATCCCCTGCCTCAGGTCACAACTTCCTCCTTCACCCAAACTCAGTGGCCCCTGACCCAAAAAAGGTTCCCCACCCCCGCCATAAATAAGGACAATTTTAAAACCTTTTGTGTTGGACATAATATCTTACTTTATTTAAATATGAAGCCTGGCCAACAAGCCCCCAGTCGGGGCCCAGCCCCCATCTGGCTGCAGCATCATAACAGTCCTGCACCAACCCTGTGCCCATCATGCACCTGAACCCCCTGCCCTGAGCCCTTCCTGCACCCCAACCCAGACGCCTGCACCCCCACATCCCCAACCTGCTGCCATA